GCATCTGGAGGCCCCCGGGAAAACAAAAAGGAGCAGGAAAAATGTGCGTGAATCCTGTGTGTGAGGATGGAGTTGGGGGGAGGGCGAGAAGTGTATTGATGGACTCGGGACAAAGGGAAAATCCTCAAGTATGCCGAAAAATAACATCCTTTCCCGTTCCCATAGCCCTGCCGTGTGATTCATGCTTTTTGGGTGACTCAAAAATGCTTGGTTTTTCTTAGTACGCACAAAGTGCTTGAAGATTTGTTGCTGCTTCACAGGAGCCCCCCCCACCCCCAGCTCCCCTAGAGTCTCTCTTACGACCCGACTTAGACTTGTCCACCCAGAGTGGCCAAGGGATTAGGACTGGCTGGGTGGACTGTGGGTTTCCCTCTCATCAGACCCATCCTGCCCTTTCCTATATGATTGTCACTGTCGGATTGGAGAGAGGTTAGGGGTCCTGGAGTCACTGGAGTGCCCTTTGTTGACAGTAGGGCTGGGGGCTCCTCTTCCCACCCTTCCTGCCCAGCTGTCCAGTCACTTGGCAAGGAATGAGACCTGTGGGTCCCGGGGAAAGGTGGTTCACTTCTCTTTGCTTTAACTGTCAAATCAGGGCTTTAGGATAGTTCAGTAGCTCCTAAACCTGCATCAGAGTCACAGTCTTTGAAAATACAGAGTCCCAGGGCCCCATCCCTGGAGTGATTTAGGAGATGAGGGAATTTGTATTGCTAACAGCTTCCCAAGGATTGTAGTCCCCACTGGCCTTTGGGACCTTGCATTGGTTGTTCTCTGAGCTCCCCCAGCTCCTGGGTTCTCTGGTACACTGCAAGGGCTTTGGGACTTTCAGAGTCCTTGGATTTCCTGACCCAGTCTTGTCTCCGTCCCCTTGGGGTGTGTCTCTGGCCCCTCCCGCAGTCTCCATCTTCTGCAGAGCTTTCTGTCAAACCCCTGAATGAGACGGAGGGAGCTCCTTTCACATTCCATTCTGGGGAGACCTAGTTTATCCACTACTTTTTCAGGACCCCTTAGAAGGAAGACACTGCTTTGAAGTGCACCCTCCTGGCTATAGTGCTACTTAAGTGCTCACAGGGTTTGACTTATTTACGTGGCTGACAAAAGTTGAGAGTTGGGCGGCAGGGCAGGAGGTATGGCCTGGGACGTAGTGCCTTCCTGTGAGGTCAGGTTCCCAACAGCCAGGAAAAGACTCCTTTCATGTAAAACCAAAAGCTTAACCAAACACGAGGCTGCCCTCATAGGATTTTTAGGGCTGAAGGGCCAGCCCGCTTGGGAAGAGTAGAGCTCAGTTTCCTGGTAAGGTGTTCCGGGCTGTGGGTTGGCCTATAAGGGAGCTTCCCTTTTCTCAACTGGATGCCTTTTTCTGGGAAGCAGTTTATGTGGTGATGAGGGTCCTGGACCAGGAGTCAGGAGACCTTGCTTCTAGTCTTGGCTGTCACTTTCAGCTGCGTGACCTTGAACAAGTCCCTTTGCCTCTTTATAGTTCATTTCCTTTTCTATAAATTGGGAGTAGAGATTCCTGGCTTACTTCACTTACCAGGCTATTGTGAAAAGCAAGCACTGATATCTTACTAGATTTTTTTCTTATAATTTAAAAAACAAAAATCACCTACAGAATAGTAAACTTGGTTTTAGCAAGTTCCTGAGCTTGACAAGGGTTGTTCTGAGAGAGTTTCCTGGTTATTCCAGGCATCTGCCACACTTGGTAAGTTGGGTACTTACACCTCACAGGGCCTCTTTTCTCATTCTTAAGCTTAGATATTTGAGTTGAATCTGTTAAAAAAAATTTTGAATCTATTGATTATTAATTTGATTCAAAGGAGTGGGGTCACAAATTTAAAGTACTTTCCTCTTTCACTGTATTCACAGTTGAATTGTGAGTTTTAAAACAGGCTGAATTTTCCAGGGCACAACTGGAATGGTAGTTTCTGAAATAATGAGTGGGGTTATTTGTTCTGGGAGAGATTAGGTCAGCCTTCTACCTCCTGGGATCTTTCAGGAAGAAACTGCTCTTGAAAAGAGGAGGGCGACTCAGGGCTGTTACTAACAGCCTTAGCTGCTGCTCTCTGCATCCGGCCCCGTCCCAGCTTGTTACTCTCATCCTCATGACTCCCAAGTCCCTGCTTCCTGCTCCCTTCCCCACCCTGAGCTTATTTTAGTTCATCAAGGCTGGAAGATAGATGAGTGATGATTTGAGGCCACCCCCTCTTTAAGAGGTGAGGACACAGAGATCAGTGGATCTAGTGAGGCAGTGAGACTGGCTTTTGTCCTGGGATATCAACTTGCCCGGGGCAGACATTTCTCTGAACCTTCTGATTTGAGCTTATTTCCACAGCTGTGGGTTGGTTTGTTTTTCCCCCAGAGAGGTACCAAAACCTCTTCCAGGGACTGCATTGTAGCATCAGACCTGGAAGAGACTTAAGATCAGCTAAGCTACTTTTAACCATGAGAATACTGGACCCCAGAGAAGGGAGCAGCTTGCCCAGTGCAGGTACACAGTCAGGATTCTTCATCCACTGTTTTTTTCCCTACTCATGTTAAGGGCTACAGTGGCTATCCCATAAACACCTGGTGAGGAGAATCGAGTTGAGGATGATTATGTTACAGAAAGTTCCTTGGAGAGCAGGCTTCAGGTATCCCACTAGGGACCTTGAGATTGCTGGCTTGGAACAGATGAGTTCCTTAGTCTTTCCTTACCACTGGAATTCAGAGTGACCCAGGATAAGTAATAAGCAACAGTCCTTTATTACTTGTCATGGCATCCTCTAGTCCCAGCACCTGTTCACAGGGTGGGTCTATCCTTCAGTTCTTTTCCTATGCATTTCCTGCATACATATGGACTCAAATACACAGTTTAAACCTTTTAAAACCTAATCTGTATGTATGTATTTACAACACTGTTTCTGGTTAGTAACATGTCTTACAACTTTTTTCATGGTATTAAATATAAA